ACCCCCCTAGCGCCAGGACCACAGACACACCCCCCTAGCGCCAGGACCACAGACACACCCCCCTAGCGCCAGGACTTCATCTGGATTCAGCTACATTTGGATCAAAATGTGCCGACACGTCAATCAGTCGTGATGCACACAGTCCTCATGATGCAGACTAGTGGAGGTCGTCGTTCATTTATAAAATGAATACTGATGTCACAGGGATAGTGTGACATGTTGGCAAATACGTTAATTCTCTTTCTTGCCAAAAGTTAAATGAGGCTGGTAGCATTCATGTCTGCACAATAAACAATAACCGCTTAGCATAACGACCAGAAACTGACAGTGTCCAAAGGCAACAGATTTGATCAGCATCTGAACTAAACTCGAGTGTAAACACCACGCTGCTGGTTTAACGGGAGGGCTTTCGTCACCATAAGGTTACTAGGAAACCAGCAGAGACTTGAGGAAGTCCAGAGCTTATTGCGTATTTAGTCATGAATATTTAACGTCACACTCAAACACCTGCACATTTAAAACCATGTTTTGAGGGCCGTCAGTGATTTGAATCATGGAACAGCGGAACTGGATTCAGGATCTGTTGAAGTGGAGATGATGCTGATCGGTAGGATTCATACTCCTGACAGAGCAGCAACGTGAGGAGGACCTGCAAGAAAACCCTGAATCAGACCAGCTGCAACACTAAACAAGCAGGACAGACAGTCACCGTCACACAGCTGAGCTCCTCATTCACACCATCACAAGGACATGGAGTTATACAGCTCAACGTTTCCCACAGCACTCCAATGAACAACTTCATCTTTACGTATCAGCAGATAACCGTATTGTTGGGGTTTGGTGTCAGGAGTCATTCAGAGAGACACGATACACATTCACACTACACATGGAAGTCATTTTAATTGAGCGGTGGACATATTTACAGCAGCTGAAGTTGGTTCACTGAGCTTCTTGTAGCCATACAATGTCGTTAGATAAAAATACATCTGTATTTTGAAGTCTCCCTTAATAGAGCTGTACACAAAATTAGAAAACAGATCCGATTGCTCCCTTTTCACATTTTTTGAATATTGAAAAAAGTTCAGGCACAATTCAAACTTGCACACTTCTTTCCAAAGGGTGCATCCCTCCACCAGGTCTCGTGATCCTTTGTGAAATGGCTCAGTCACAGGACCGACGCGTTTGAAGACGCTTTGAGCAGACACATGCAAGCAGAGCCAGAGATGAGCCCTGCTCAGAGACACTGTAGTGTGCTCCAGACAGAGGTAACAGACGAGACGCATGTGCACAGGTAAAGCTCAGGTACGTTAGGTGAAGACTTAATATGGCAACAAGGTTCATTCCGAGAAAAACAGAGTCGCCAGTTCTGTAACAAGCCAACATGTGTTGTCTGAAAACACACGCGGTACGTAACGAGGCAACAGAACATTCCAGGAGTTTAACAGCAGGTTATAAACATGAGCACATAAATCCTATACACGGGCTTACTGAAGCAACTAAGAGAGGAACAAGACCAACTCTGACCCATAACAATGACTTAAACCTGAAAAGACCAATGAAGGAGAGTCAACATCAAAGATCCACTCTGACCAGTACACTGAAACATTACATTCTCAAGCTTCATGGACAAAAACAAGGCAAAAGGGAGGATATGTCTGCTCTCAGCTCCACCCACTGGCAAAAAGAGCTTTAAGACAAGAAGGAACCTGTAGAAGAACACGCTTGGTTTGCAAGATGTGCTGATGCTAGCATAATCCCTTTGTAGGCACTATTACAGTCCACATTGTGCTTGGTCCGAATTAGGGAACTAGTCACGGCAGTTTACTGGAGACACACAGTAGGAGGAGGAGTCAGCCAATGACTCTTGGTGGGGCAAGCCAACATGGTGGAATGGCTCTGGTCTTAAGGGTGACAGAGGTGAAACAATGGTAGGCTAGCCTGCTACCCGTCAGTACAGAACCATCCTTCAACTGCCTCCAAAGAAATGTGCAAAAGCGGCTCCAGTCCCCCACAAGCTGAGAGCAGCTTCAAGCGCTGCTGCCGGGTGAAAACCCAGCGTAGAATTACTTTTATAAGAGGTTTTGAAAACAATTCAATCAGCTTTACTAGCAGGAATTTGACTAGAAGCAAAGACCAAACATGAAGGGAGAAAAAGGTAAATCATGGAGTTATGTTTTCAGGTGACGGCAGAGAAACATCACTTACACAGCAGTCAAAGTATTATTCTTCAATGAAAGATGACAGATACAGAAGAAGGCTGGAATAACTCAAAACCAATGGTGGATTAGTGCAGCAGACCAATGCATAGCTGTGTGTGGCAGGCGGGCGAGATGGAGAGCTTAACGATTGCAGCAATGAGGGTGTGTGCTCCTGCGTCTTTAACTAGTACACTGTACACTGACACAGATCCAACCCCGTGGTGTTTTCTGACATGCTGGAGATCAGGTGAGATAGATCCCAGATATGAAACAGTCAGAGCGCTGTGGACTTGTCCAGTAGCTGCGTCTGTGTTCCACTAACTCTTTGAGGCAAACAGCATGAGACCCTCTCATCATCCTCAGCCAGTGTCTCTTCACGTCTTCGCCCCTTTGCCTCGCCACCCGCCGCCCTGTCCAGGACCATTATCTCATGGTGGAGGAGGCTCTGAAGTAGGAGAGGAACTTGAAGCAGAGGCTCACCACGAAATACCAGATGTTTCTGGCCATCTGGGATCGGGCAATGAAGACGCGCCAGATGAGCACCACCAGGACGGTGTTGAAGGTGTAGCGTATGTTCCTCAGCCTGGGAAACACAAACACAACCGAGACTAAACCTCCACTTCACAGGTTTGCAAGGGTGAAGGTATGAAGAGTGAGTCTGTGTCTCAACACACAGCTCACATCCTTTTACAGATGCATCACTGCTTTTATCATCATCACTATAGCCACTGCTGCTGCTGTTAGTATTCATCATTATCATTCTGCTATTATTGGTGCTACTACAGCTATTACTACTCTAATATGGATCATTTCTATCATATGCTTGGACTATGTTGTAACCGTTATGTTCATTTTGTACATCTGACATCTACTTCTGTCCATGCTGGAGAGGGATCCTCTGTTGCTCTCCCAGAGGTTTCTTCCTTTTTCTCCCCTGATAAAAATGTATTTTAGGACTTTTTCCTTTTCAGATGTGAGGCTCCTGGGACAGAGGACGTTCTACAGAGTGTAAAGCTCTGAGGCAAATGTGTGATTTCTGATATTGGGCTATACTAATAAATTGAATGTTAGACATATCCCTTTTTTAAAGTCATGCTCTCTCCTTTTAATTCCTTGAAAGTTTCTGCATGCTGATTATTGACGTGAGCTGAGGGGATTACTGCCACTCCGACTGTACGATCCACTCAGAGTGGTAATCTGAAGGAAGAGCTCATATTCCTGACAGATGTCAAAGACGTGAGTGGTTCATGGAAGTAGGACTTCGGAGTATTTCCTCCCGAGTCCGTGTGTGGCAGATTTATTTCCCCTCTTACTTGTTGAGGTGTTTGCGTGCAGCAGGCAGGCCAGACAGCTCTTCGTTGAGGACATATTTCTTGGTGCCCATGCAGTAACTTTCCATGTACTCGGCCCAGTGCAGCTGACGCACATCAAAGTTAAACACCTACCGAAACAAAAACACAACAAACATTCTCCGTGAACTTTTGAACGACAACTTCTCCGTGAATGACAAGATGTGCAGTCTTCAACAACGGCATGTTTTATCTGAGATGTAATGGATTTTTCTGGCAGGCAACAATAGATATTTGACAAAGTGAAAAAGAAAATGCAAAAAAAAAAGAAAATGTTAAAAGTAAATATGCATTGATGGATGAGTTTTTAATAAATATGAAATAGATGAAATATTTTACTATCCATTAAATCTTTCAAAGAACAGTAAATATAAGAAAACACTACAAATACATATTAATCTAAAAAATAAACTTAGAACTTCAAAGATGAAAATGCAGGTAACAAGTCAACAAATGCATGCACGGCTCAAAGGTTTGAGCTAATTGCTAATGTTAGCATAACAGCTCACAGACACAATGTTGATAATCTAGAGATATTCACCCCATCCTCTGGGGTCCACCATGATGTCACAGAGAGCACACTGCCATCTATAGAACCAGCAGTCTAAACACATTTAACATGGAGGCCATGTAGATGTGTCTGGATCAGACAATATAACTGCTCCACATCAACAAACTGACAATTTTTAGAACTTAATTTTTGAGTAAATGAGGAATTTTAGTAGTAAAAAAGAAATTCATAATTTGAAATGCTTTAATGGATGTTTGCATAAGCACTTATCTAATAAGAGAATGAGAAAGAAAGAATGAGCCGGCCGCTCCACCTGGCTTTGGCCTAATTCAACCCACAGCGAGGGGGGGAGAAAACCAGATCACCAACGATCCCCGACCAACCATCCCCGACCAATGATCACCGACCAATGATCACCGACCAAGATCCCCGACGATCACCGAGCAACGATCCCCGACCACCAACGATCCCCGACCACCAACGATCCCCGACCACCAACGATCCCCGACCAACCACCACCGACCGATCCCCGACCAACCATCACCGACCACCAACGATCCCCGACCACCAACGATCCCCGACCACCAACGATCCCCGACCACCAACGATCCCCGACCAACGATCCCCGACCAACCACCACCGACCAACCATCACCGACCACCAACGATCCCCGACCACCAACGATCCCCGACCACCAACGATCCCCGACCACCAACGATCCCCGACCACCAACGATCCCCGACGATCCCCGACGACCCCCGACCAATGATCCCCGACCGACCACCACCGATCCCCGACCGACCACCACCGATCCCCGACCGACCACCACCGATCCCCGACCGACCACCACCGATCCCCGACCGACCACCACCGATCCCCGACCGACCACCGAGCAATGATCAGCGACCACCGACCGACGACCGATCGGTTCTGAGACAGGCACTACAGAATTCAATATTCAAGAAGAGAACCTTCAAACACTGTTCTAGACTTGCTTATACAATCCAGTGTTTTGTCATCAGATATGAATGTCATAGTGTTGGAACAACAGCTCCAATGTGTACAGGACATACAGTGAAAGTCCCTTTCAGTCTGAAAACATCTCTTCACTGACATCAGCAGGAAAAGAATGAGTCACTCCATTGTAGCCAGCCTGCTATCAGACACACAGCCGTCAACCCGTCTGAGGATCCACAGCGCTTTCTCCTACCTTCTTATCCTCTGGGCTCATCTGGCCAATCAGCATGGCCACGTTGTCATTGTTCCACACCCAGGAGTGACTGGTGAAATACTCCAGCACCATCATGGCTTTGTGGAGGCGTGTGATCGTCTTCATCATCCTATGACACATGAGCGGGGAAAGCAACAGGGAAAGGGAAGGAAAGCAGCAATGAGGTGAGGAAGATGAGAGAACATTGGAATGGATGAAAGATGATGGTCGTGTAGAGACAGACAGAAGAGGATGCAGAGAGAGGAGGAGTCATGAATGAAGAGCAGGACAGGGCCACATGGTGTTGGAGGGGAGAGCAGAGGCAGAAGTTGACTCCACAGTTAGAGGAACACAAAGGAGCCTTTGTATCAGCTGTTATACAACGTGAGCTCTAATTTAGTCTCAAAACTGATCATGGAACACTGTCAGAGATGTGCATGAATGAGTTCTACTAGATCACTACATGTTTGACAGTGTATGCCGTGGACTCCCAATTCCCAAAGCCTTGGATTAGGCAGATTTTGATTCTAATAATTGTAATGAATGCAGCAGACCTTGTGAGCTGTACAGTGCTTTGTGTTTGTTCACCTCTTCAACTTCAATCACTGTCTTTTTGCTTAGTTCATTTAACTATCCACCGAAAAGTCAAGATGACATTCACTTTACGCATTTCCCAAATAGTCAAGAGGTTTGTTGAGACGTTGTCAAAGCACTGCAAGTGGTCCGGTCTGTGAATGGTCCTCTGAGGACAGTGACTGGTACGACTCAGCTGAAGACTAACCGGATGCAGCCTGTGTGAAGACCAGGAGGACAGACAACTCAATTTAGGTCACACACATTCAGTATTTACAGACTTCCTACATCAACAATGTTGCCCCACCTGTTCACACAGTGCATCCAGTTAATATACTTCATTAGTGTGTTAGTTCAGATTCAGTGTTGATCACAGACATTCAGTAACCAGTGTTGAGGAAATCAGGGTGAGAATGGAAAAGCAGAGCTCATTACTGCGAAGATCATAGGAGGCTCTCCGAGTCTTCAAACGGCACTTCTCTGGTAACTTTTACTAAAAAGCTCTCCAGAAACATTTCACAGTATTTTGAATACGAAGGCCTTGATCCAATGACAGGCCTGTTCTATCATTTGGAACATTTAGACCGATTGAGCAGATCGAGAGGACTCAGATTCCTCCTGTGAATGCTTCCGAGGACGTGACAGACATGCATGTTGATCAGCACATAGAGGCAGAGATGAGTTACTGACATACCCAATCAAATCAAAGCACACCCAGTGTGAGCCAAACTCATTTCAGACAGCCAAACAAAGCAAGGAAGGCTGAGAACGGGCTGCTTGGCACTGCATGACATGTTGAAATACCTCTGGCTTGCAGTCAAGAGAGAACACATATGTGGACACTAATCAATTAACATGCAGCGGGGTTGTATTCAGTGGGACATGATCCGTCTCCGACTGGACACAACGTTTTAAATGACCAAGATGTCCCATGGTGCCTTGGGATTTTCCATGATTGGGTGAGAAGTGTGTGGGGGGTGGGCGGGGGTGGCAATAATGGATGTCATGTTCACAAAAAGGCAAGTCTTCTTTAAATGAAACATGCTCCCATAGAGGACTTAGGGTCTTCACTAAGAAAAAGACACTGCAAACGTTTTGCTTCTTCTGCTTGGACCCCTCCCTGATCCCACATAACCAGTCGGTGAAAGACACACAGTAGGGGAGGGGGGGTTGTGGGAAATGTGGGGGCTGACTGGCAGGGGAGGGGGGCAGTTGCAACCTTACCGGGGCTTGCGGCCCGTCAGCCTGAGATAGCCGTCATAGAGCAGAGCCGGCAGCGTGTGGCTGACAGCGGTCCAGTACTGATTAGTAAAGGGGTTGGAGCGCAGATTGACATTGGGCCTTCTGAAGGCCTGCTCTAAGGGATTGGTCTTGAAGGTCATGTTTATACAGTACTCTGTAGGAGAGAGATACACATATGACAGGACAAGGAGGACACAGGACGAGATGAAGCACAATGCTCCTCTGACTGACACTAGGCCAGATGCAGGGCCTGTGTAAAGGCGGGACCACTGCTGGTCGTTACAACAGTGGGACCAGATCTGAAGGGCTTTCAGTATCTGGATTAAAAAAGGTGACGGATCCAGCTCACATAACTGACAACTTAGCAGCTAGCAAAGGATCTTTCAAAGGGCCAACACCTGGGTTGGGTTCCCAAAGCGTCTTCAGACTGAAGTCCACCTTTGTCCGTTCAGCGGTCGGACTGAGACGACCTCAGTGCTGACATTTTGGAAACCCAACCGAGAATACGAACATTGCAGGTAGCAAGATGGAAAGAGTGCAGAACCCATCAGTAACCCTGTATGATCAGGAGAGCAGCTGGGTTATACATTCTTCAACTCCCAACAAAACTGCACACAAGCATCATGTAAGACATTAGCACGGCAGCTACAACGTTAGCCTACTACACTAAAAGAGAAGTGACAGGACTAAAGCAGCAGAGATGTGTGTGCACGTGTGTGAGAGGGGAGTGGCGTTAAGACAGCAGAGGTGCGGCGCATCAGAGTCGGCGATGATGAGGTTACCTGGGCTCTCGTCCAATCAGCCTGAGGTACAGATCATAGAGGAAGGCCGGAGCCTTGTGGCTCACGGCAATCCAGTACTGATTGATTAGGTGATTGGTTGTGAGATTAACATTGGGCCGACGGAAGGCCTGCTCAAGGGGGTTCCTCTTGAACGTGGATATTACATGGTACTCTAAAACACAGAAGGTTGTTTAACACAAGTCATTAATCAACAGTTCAAAACATTTTGGCTGTGTATGCTTGACTGAAAGCTGCTGGCAAAGCAAATCTTTAAATCTAGTCCACAATCCAATCCAGACCTAGCTGCTCAACCCGTCTACAGAGTTATGATGTTCCCATCGGCTCCACAAAGACATTCATTATCTGGCAAAACAGTTTCTCCAACATTCAGATTCTATCACATTTCTACACCGTAGGCACAGCTACGGGAGCAAATTCTGGTGTTAAGTGTCTTGCTCAAGGACACGTCGACATGCGAGCCGTGGATCGAACCGTCGATCCTCCGATTGAAGGACGGCCCTGCTCTCCACTTAGCCACACGTTCAAGTTCCTTTCCTGATGTTTTGTGAAGTACTGAGCTGTGGTCAACAACCAGCCTGCTGTAGAGGACGGGGACATGAGACAACGGCTACTAACATGGACCTTGTGGTGCGAATGCTTCTGTCAGCTACAAAGGTCCAGAAGGAACTGTAGCCCATCACTAATAGTATGTGAGACTCATTGTAAGGCTGGCCATGAATCAGTATGAGAATTTATAGTCTTTCAATCATATCATGATGAATCATACATCGAGATAAATTGATGCTAAAAAGCACAGACTGACTCAAATCCTTCAGACAACCTGAAATGATCAGGACTGTGGGGAAACCTCAGTGTAGTTAAATCTAACGATTGTCTTGGTCTGATTACTCAGAGTTTGTGTGCATCATGTAAAGTCAGTGTAGCTGGACATATACATTTATTTTTTCATTTTCCACTAAAGTTCTTAATCAAATGGGAAAATACTTAATACCTTTCTTATGCATTAGAAAATAGCTTTTTCCATATATATTGCTATCGGCATATGAAATGACCTACATCATGCTAGAAGATTGGGGCCATATCATCCAGCCCTCATGTATTGTATCGGTCTGTAAAGGTGTTCCTGTTATTCTGTCCAACCCCTTAAGCTAACAATGTCTCATAAAAACAGAGCTGCACAACACAAGTTGGAGGAAAACTGCATCACAGAACAACTTTAAAACCATTTATCCTTTCAACTAAATGCATTTCCATCCTAAATCCAACATTAATCTCAGACTCTTTCTTCTGTAATCATGTCAGAGGATAACAAGCTTGAATGGTTTGGATAAACCTGTTCACGAGTTGTAACAAGGTGATTTATGGTTGCACCACAGTGCTTCCAAATTAAACTTTTAGGGCACACGGTCATGTTGCAGTTACAGTAAGCGCCACATGTTTCACTGCAAAGCTTAACGGTGTAAATCAAACCGGGAGGTCTACATTACGGATTTGTTTGAGTTCAGGAGTCCATATCACTCTATGTGGTGATTGGTTACATGTCCATAATCACTAGCAATGTGAGCAACAATGTGTGCCTTTACTCCACAAAGATCCAGCCACACACAAAGCAGGATCTAGGAGGAACAGGTGAACCAAGCTCTTGGTTTGGGTGTGGCAGGCAGTGGATCAGATTACAGTCAGAGTTAAACATACAGCCGCCGTTGTCTTTACAGAGGCTGTGCTTAGGTTAGATAAGAGGCATCATACCGACTTCCCCCCAGCGAAACGGGTTGATCCCTCCGGTTGTGCAGTTGTACACCAGGATGTTTTTAGACCTGTAGTATGGAGGGAAAGGGACGGACACACACACACACACACACACACACCTCATCAATACAACTTGAACAGAAGATGCATGTGAGAAGACGTGATGAATTGATGCGTCTCTACCTGTTGAGTGTCTGTGATCCAGAGTACCAAGCTGCAGCCAGCGTGGCGTTGATGACCACGTCCACAGGCACCAGGTCAGCCACAGCATCATTAGACGCTCTCATGGTACGCAGGATCCCCTTACCGGCCTAGAGGAGGTCAAAGACACGTCAGTAATGCAAGCAGAAAGTTTCAGTTCAGACACAAAACAGGCTGATAACCAATATCTATAGAGTCTAGTCGCACAGATCCCAACTTCAAGACTGAGTGGCTCCTCATTCACTTCTCTGTAGAGCGCTTCCTGTCACAAACTGACCCGCCTCCTTCCATCTGAAGAACTTTGACACATGAAATCACAGGGATGTCCAATGTCCACCCAGTTTGATCAGAAAATATTGTTTATCTATCTATATTCATAACTGCACTGGGACATAATGTGCTGCAGTAAGTGTAAAGACAGTGGTTCATGACAGGAGGATGCTTGATGAAAAGCAGTACGATCTCAAACGTTGTGAACTGTTAGCCTGCTAGCTCCACAGTTTGATTCTACAACCGTTCAAACTGTGGTTTCCTCTCCCTCCTGCTCTTAGCCACACCGCCTGAGTCAACATCTCCAGGCAGTACCGGTTAGATTCAGAGAACCAGCACACTGTACTGCTACGTGGACTAGAGACCAAAAGAAAACAGTCAGCATTTCAAACATGGTGGTTTAAACTGCCAAAAAGCTCAAAGCATCTCAGCTGTTTGGAACGGTGTTGAAGGAGCAAGCTGTGAGTCTGTAGTTTAAACAGCTGAAGCGGCGAGTCTGTAGTTTAAACAGCTGAAGCTGCAGTCGGTGACATGGGTCGGCATCTGGCTCAGTAAGACTGACACCAGACGGGCTTTAGCACTGTCCACCGAGCATCTGACCAGCTCCCGCCTGTACTCACTGCTATGAATATTCCACTGGGGCCATTGAAGTTATCAATCCAACCCTGAAAGAGAGGAAGAGGACAGAGCAGAGCGTTAGCACCGACACCATTAGCCCATTCATTGATACATTTGGACCTTTTCTTGATAAACTGACATTGTTCATAGGTCAAACATTTGCTGGTTATAATTACTCAAATGTCCATATGGTAATAGGTTTAATATGTGAGCTTTAGCCTGGTTACTCTAGTAGAACATACAGAACTCATATATTCACACACTTTAATGAGTGATCCTGTCGGAGAGCTGTGGCTTCCGATATTCAGAGTGTGTGAGAAACATTCCTAAACCAGAAAAACAACCGTCTTCTGCTTTCCATAGCAGCAAAGGTGCGCAGACCTTCGTTCCGCTACGTTCCTCATTCATTCACTGCTCGACTGCCCGTCCACCTCTGTGCTTTCACAGACGGGGTTCTGTTGGACCTTCGCTACATGTCCATTTCGTGATCTCTGGAAACAATGACTTCCTCCACTTCACGATCTCCCTGCTCACTAATTCCTCCCAATCCCTGGGTTCATATTCCAAGTAGTTTGCCATGTTCTGATAAAGGAATAACATTTCTATTAGTAACTTAGCAGCAGATAGGACAGGTGACAGTTATCTTTTTGCAAGTGTCTTTGGAAAATGAAATAAGTTTAAAAAGGTAAAAATGGAGAATGTGTGAACATGCTTGGAGAACAGATGTGCACACAGCTGGCTGTACTGTGAGGTGTTCAGGTTGCACGGCGTGTTTGTGTCTGTGTATGGCTGTCCCTCTCATTCAGCAGCAGTTGTGTTGCATACACTACGATGTCCCTCACCGTCCCGCTCATCTGCCACTTAAAGTCTTCCTCACACGGAGGACCAGGAGCTCCTGCATCTCAACGTGTTGCCACATATCCACGATGTTCACCTCAATGTAGCTGAAAACATTCCTGCTGCCGTCGCACCGTTTGTTTGCGCTACAGAGACATGCGAGTGTGTGCGTGTGGAGCCGTTCACGTGGAAATCAACCCAGTTGTGACCCACCTCTCAACCCGAGTCGGTTAACCCTAAACACAAAATCAAGCCTGGTTGAGCCCTCGGTGTGAAAGGGTGCATGCCAATCAGCTTCATGCTCTGTGCTCTAAAGGCAGCAGCTCTGGAACGATGTGGCACTTGGCTTTTACATTATCTTTTTCTAAGAAAGTATATTTCTGCCTCCAACACTTCAATGCATTAAACAAAATAACTGGCACATATTCTAAAACAGACACGATTTCTGCAGTATGCTTTGCTGTTTCTTGGTGCATTTTAAAACAGCATCCAACATTAATCCTGCGTTCAGAAACCACTCACTGGGAAGGGCTCTTTCCAGCTGGCTCCAACTATGGAAGGTCTGACAATGGCTACGTTGAGGTCTCCGGCCTCCTGCTGCACCAGATACTCTGCCAAGGCTTTGGTGTAGGTGTAGGTGTTGGGACGCTTCCCGATCAGCTTGGGAGTCAGAGCAGACACCAGCTCGTCATCCATCCAGCTGGAGCACAAGAAACAGAAATAAGATGAGTCTTACATTTGCTACATTTATTTAACCACTGACAGTACCAATACAAAGCAATGCAAATGTGTCTATCGTATGACCAACACAGCACCGGATACAGCCAGCATGTAAAGTGCTCTTTCCTGTAGCCCAGACCTACGTGTTCTGATGAAATGAGATGAACCGATATGAATTACCTCTCTTCATTTAAATATTGAATTATAAAAATGTAAAATGACGCTCAGTGAATCACTGACAATCTTAAAAAATACTTTCCTACTTGCTTGTTATTCATCTCCTACACCCGTGGCCAAAAGTTGAGAATGACACAAGTAATCGTTGTCACAAAGTTTGCTGCTTCAGTTTTTATGACGACAACTCCAAAACAGTATGAAGAGTGATCAGATGAATTGATAGTGAGATTGCACCTAAATCAACCATTTATCGGATCATCAAGAACTTCAAGGAGAGAGGTTCAGTTGTTGGGAAGAAGGCTTCAGGGCGCCCAACAAGTCCAGCTAACTCCAGGACGTCTCCTAAAGCTGATTCAGCTGCGGCATCGGGGCACCACCGGTGCAGAGCTTGCTCAGGAATGGCAGCAGGCAGGTGTGAGTGCATCTGCACGCACAGTGAGACGAAGAATTTTGGAGGATGGCCTGGTGTCAAGAAGAGCAGCAAAGAAGCCACTTCTCTCCAGGAACAACATCAGGGACAGACTGATGTTCTGCAGAAGGTACAGGGATAGGACTGCTGAGGACTGGGGTCAAGTCATTTTCTCTGATGAATCTCCTTTCCGATTGTTTGGGGCATCCGGAAAAAAGCTTGTCCGGAGAAGAAAAGGTGAGCGCTACCATCAGTCCTGTGTCATGCCAACAGTAAAGCACCCTGAGACCATTCATCATGTGTGGGGTTGCTTCTCAGCCAAGGGAGTGGGCTCACTCACAATGTAGCCTCAGAACACAGCCATGAATAAAGAAAGGTACCAAACATCCTCCGAGAGCAACTTCTCCCTACACTGCAAATATTGACTCTTTGCATAAACGTAATGTAATTGTCAATAAAAGCCTTTGACACTTATGAAATGCTTGTAATTATACTTCAGTAACCATAGTATCAGACAAAAAGATCTAAAAACACTGAAGCAGCAAACTTTGTGAAACCAATACTTGTGTCATTCTCAAAACTTTTGGCCACGGATGTAATCTGAAGAAATTAAGAATCCTAGATGGATGCAATTTATAAAATTCTGTGTTTTTCTACCACCATGCGCGTTTTTCACAACATCTAAACGGGATGGACGGAACAAAAAACTATGCTGCATGTTCTGGTGTCCTCTGAGATGGCTGGCTTAGTCCACACTACACCACTTTAGCCCGGATTGTCTACTCGCAGACAACAGAAGCCCCAGATCAGAGACACACTGGCGCTGGCTCTGCTGTGTGGGAACGGTGTGATGCCTCACAGATGGATCCACCCAGCAGGCCCAATGTCTGACCCATCAGGAAGTTACAGCCAATGCGAGCTAAAGACATGAGCTGAGGCCAAACGTTGAACCCTCAACCATAATCCCATGCTACTGTATACTATTGAGAACAATAGAGCCTCCACACATCTGCTCATAACACAAGGCCATCCAAACCACCACCGTTCATTGGAAACGGTCCAGATCCACTTACTCCAGAGAATCGATGAGTCTGCGGTAGTCTACGGGGGGAGGGTATACCATTTCCTCAATGAGCTCTCGGTCACAGTTGGCATAGGCTGTGGAGATGTGAAGGAAGACCTCCAGGTGCTTCATCTGGTGGGCTAGTGCCAGCATCTTCTGGGTGGCCAGGACATTCAGCTGCATTGCATCTCTGGGAGGAGGAAAGGAAGACAGTAAAGTTTGACATATAGTCAGACAGTGGATGAAATAGATGGACCAAACTAAGTGAGTACAAGTCCCAGTCATGTGTTATTAGCAATGGGGGAATGAAGACTAGGGTCACAGTGAAACATCACGATGGACGATGACACTGTCGTCTAATGGGCTACTCCTATAAAAGGCTACTAGAATCTTAACTTCTAATTCAAAATTGATATTAAATAATATTCAGGTTTCCTGCTGTGTCTCTGCTGTACTGTCAAGCACTCAGACAGAGGACTGCACCAATCATCCAAACTGATGCTAAATGGACTATTCTTGTATTTCTCTTCAAAGCACTTTAACACTACATGTCATCATTCACCCATTCATAGGGTACACCCCAAGTCTCTTAATTGCATCCCCATTTCCCCAACTTGCGTCTTTTCCAAGGAAACCATGCAAGGAGAGAGGAAACAAGGAAATCTGTTTTAAGAGAAAAGAGACTTCCTTTCCTCTGAAGCGTCACGTGAAGCGACGTCTGTTTCTGATGACGGCAGCTCTAATCACAGCTGGATCAGCGGTCAGTCGGCTTTAACATCTGGAGAGACTTGAGAAGTTTGTGTCTGTTCACATGATCCCTGTACTGATGATAGCTACCAATAACTAATGTGGTTATGTCTGTGTATTATATCTGTATATATTGGGAGCCTACCTCAGGTGGACCACGGGTGGCAGTGTGGATTAGTGGGGCAGGTAATTGGTATATGGGGCACAGGTGCAACAGACCGCTAATGATGCATGGGTGACGGGGAGATCACACGGTTTTTACTGCACACAAGACACACCAGAGGGGAATTAGGAAGATAAGTTCCATCTTATCGTATAATTATCTGTAAACCGAAAACCTAATTAAAACAGGAACCTCACCCAAAAGTGAAAGCGCCTGGAATCTCTTATTGAAGAGAGTAAAGAACGCGATCTTCTCCCGCACTCAGCAGAGTGGCGAGTTGCTGGAATCAGTCACTATAACTAACAAAGACACACATTTATTGTCACTGCCAGAGTAGAGGTGTTTCCTGAGTGTAGCCTGTTACCTCTTTAACAAACCGTGTTCTGTTTATAAGCGCAGGATTGATGTCTACCGACGGAATGTGATCGTCTTATTTATGATTTATTTGCATCTGTACGTTTTAAATTGTGATTGACGTCATTATTAATTAACCCAAAATATGATTATGGTTTCTTTTGAACACTGCAATTAATTTATTCGGCTCCATGTTTCAGGTTAAACTTAAATGATAAAACTCATCGAACACTCAGGAATGATCCGCCTCACGTGACTGAATGAAATGATAAATGATGTAAAAAGCTCTCCGACTTTAATTGTATTCATAATAAAAGTTATTGAGGGAAACATCAGATCATGAAAACACAAATCATTCTAATGAATGTAGAAAGTTGTTTGTGGTCATTTTGTTGTTCTACAATGAACATTTATTTAAACCAGATGGTGAATCAGAAAACGAATCAAATATAAAGCTTGAGTTTATTCTGTGATCTTCACTCTGGTGTTAAACTCCAGTCAGATCAGTCAGATCACATAACTGATGAACAATGAGGGGGCATGTCAGCTGTTCTCGTGCATCCTCACTCATGGCTCCTCAGAGATCCCTCCTCGCTCTACCTCATGCTACCAGTAGTGACATGGGCACTAGCAACATGGTAAACTAGAGAAAAACCAGCCAGGAAGGAGAGAAAACCAACCCCTTTTTGGGGGTTGTCTTGCCGTTTCCTCTCCTGTTGTCACTTCCATTTGCACCAAAGCAGGTGAAATTGATTCACAATCACAAAAACCCAAAGTCTAGTCTGGTACCAGTCAGGTACCATCACGCCTGTACTAAAGCTGTGGTCACACACCCAATTGGGCAACCCATGCTATGACTCATGAACTAGCATGCAACGCCACTTAAAACCACCAATAGTCAGTTTTACATTTCTGATACAAACAAACGAGATATTATACGAGTTACTATCCGACAGAAAGCAGTGAAAGGGAGGAAGAGGGTGAGGTAGAGATAGACAGACAAGTGAGATTGGGAAATTTTGGTTTTTCAGTTAGTTGCCCAATAATTGTGCCCAATAATTGTGCACACATACATATTCTCCTAAGAAAGCCAAAACCTCACTTTTACTTTCTTAAATATTCAGGTTTGAGGTTTATTAACATTTTAGATTGACTCTGTAGTTCAATAATAAAATGAATCCTCAAAAATATAACTTTCCTAATAACTGTGCACGCAGTGTATTTGTGATACTAGATTATATAAATAAAGTTGAATTGAACAAGCAACAAAAAGGTCCAAAGGCCAGAATTGAACCCACAATGTCCACTGAATAGTTTATGGCCAAAACACATCTCTGATCTGCTGCTACCTCATGAACCATCCAGACCCCTTAGGTCGTCTGGGACCGGTCTGCTTTCTGTTCCCAGAGTCAGAACTAAACATGGAGAAGCAGCGTTCAGTGTTTCTGCTCCACATATCTGGAACAAAGTCCAGAAAGCTGCAGGTCTGCTGAGACCCTCAGCTCCTTTACATCAAGACTGAAGACTTTTCTGTTTGCTGCCTTTAATCAAACCACATTCAAGGATATTAATCCATTTCTGCATTTTACTACTGCATTTTATTTCTTACACTGCTTTCTATTGTTTTAATGAATGTTATTAATGTTTCAATGAATGTTCTCAATTGTTGTTAAATCTCCTTTTCTTTTGCCTTGTGTTTTGATGCTTGTAATGGTTTTATGTGAAGCACTTTGAATTACCTTGTTGTTGAAATGTGCGATACAAATAAACTTGCCTTGCCTTGATTCTATGGCCATTCGACTACCAAGGCGCTCCCCAAGAACCATCCTGTGTACAGATACGTGCTTCTTACCCCAGGGCCATCAAAATGACAACAGATGGCATAAAATCTAACTGCCAATGATAATACAGAGGTCTTACTCCAAAGACAATCTACCGTCTCCCTGAGGTTGTGAGTAGAGTGTCTTTGGATGAGCAGAACAAACGATTAGCCAACGTCCTGCAGAAAAGGGAGGAGTCTCAGGTGTCGAGCCCCATGTCGCTGCTACGTCAAACAAACACATTCTCCTGCCTGATCGTCACTCATTTGACCGAGTCAACACAACACCACCATACAAGATGCGGAAGAAACGCACTGATAAACATGGTTAACTTACAAGGTGCCACTAGAGAGAGAGAAACACAATGCACTGCACATGTTACCAACAAGGCCCTCCAGCAATGAAGAACCAATCAAAACAAACAGACCACTCACTTGAGTGGCTCGTTGAAGCGGATGGTGGCAGCGCAGTGGAAGATGATGTTGACGTTGTCAGCCAGGATGCTCTGGTCCTCTTTACTCAGATCCAGCTCCGGCTTCATCAGGTCACTGGCCACCGCTACGATCTTCTCCGCAAAGTCGGGCTGCTCGTCTTGCAATCTTTCAAACAGCTGAGTGGGGAAATGATGGCCAAGTTACAGTCCATAGTAAACTGTAAGTGCATTCATAGAACTGTAATTCAGTGTGCAGTGGAATGCGTTTCCATACAAGAACAGCTTCTACTCCCACGCCAACTGCTGGAATGGGCAGTCGTGGCAGAACGGCTTATTTTTCACCTCTACACATCTCCTATCTAGAGCCGAACTACAGCAGGCTGCTACCTCAGCTGTTCGGAAGCGTTCAACGTTAAGTCAACACTAACACACATGTGAACCGTTAGAAGTGGCATCTAAAGTTACTCTTATGGTGAGAAGTTGTACTGTAGATGTAAGGGCTTTCATCACCGGGCCATCAGCTAACCCTCCATCATGGGACCTCATTCAGCAATAGATGGTGACTTAACAGACATGCCGATGGAACTCTTACAGATTATGAATCACATTAGTGCACTCATCAAATCAAAGAAAGCAGAGAGCAAACACTGAGTGCGAGTGTCAGAGTCATAAATGAGTCAGGATATCTACATTTTAAGTGGCATCTTAACGGTGTGGTTCAGCCTGTTAGCAGATTATGCTCAAACTAAGCTACGTTTTAAGCTCACACAGCGCTGCTGCATCACGCTTCTCCTTCACACACACACACAACACAACACAACACACACCTCTTAGCTCACTTCTCACCTTGCAGTTGATCATGTCAGCGATGCGGGCCGCAGGGCTCTGACCAGCTTTTGACCTCACCATCACATAGACACCTTTGACTCCTGGGCAGGACCTCAGCAGCTTCTCCAGCAGCACCTTGAACCACGAGGAAGGAGGATGTACCAACGTGTTGCATCAAACACATGCTTGGAGTACACGTGTACTCCAACACGTGTTGGAGCACGTGTTGGAGTACAAAGAACGGCTGTCGTTCAACAAGAAGGTATTCATGCATCTGCTGTTGAACTAAGACTGTTCTTACACATGCCTTCACAACATAATACCCACTTACTCAGCACACAGTAAAAGTGTCACATGCTTCCTGCTTCACTTCCCGGTGTGAAAAGAAGAGAAGCAGCAGACCTGAACTCTACACTTTTAGATACTTCCTGTGTAATGTGGACTGATGAAACCCTTCAGTCACTCTGATAAAGCAGAGCAGTAGAGCTCGCCTCTCTCTCTCATCTGATCCCCTCATCTAGTTCAGAAGCTCACCTCCATGGTTCAGTCATGTCCTATTGGCTACTTGCCTATTCAACTACTACTGTACCTTGCCCATGAAGCCGGTTGCTCCAGTGATCAGCACAGTTTTCCCAGCATAGTATTCTGGGATGTTCACCATGATGACGGTTGTCCTGTTCAGTGAGCTGCTTTAACACCACTCCACCTGCACAGAAATAAGAAAAACAAAAGGGAGGGTTACAACTGTGAGACCAACGTCATGCCTGAACTCGTTTCATGAGGGGGGGGGGGGGGGGGGGGGGT